CCCCCCCCGATGTGCCAAATATCGTGACCGTACGTCGAGCGGTTAAGATTTGTGCCCAACTGTTGACGGACGGACGGACGGACGGACGGACGGACGACCGGACGGACGATCATGCGATTCTACAAGCTGCATCTGACTATGTCAGATGAGCTAAAAAGCTGCCAAAGACTCTCCCTGTCTTAACTCTTTGGGAGTCTAACCATTATTCAATGTAGCAAGTGTGTTGAACAATATACAATGCCCTGACTGCTCAGTCATATATCAATATTCCACAGGTTTAAAATGGAAAAATTGGTAACCCCTTGGCTCTAGACTTCAGACTGGCCTCTTTGGAAGTGTGTGATGAATTTTATTTCTATCTACCTGGCATGTTGTAAATTGTGGTGTTTTAGAATGATATATCATATGTTCTGGTATCTATTTCTGAAATATTACCAACTCTTCCAAACATCTCCTCAAGCAAGTGTTAAATATGTTACAGAATGTTCTCGACTGACCCACCCCTTATCTGCCTTCCTCTGCACCCTCTGGTCACTCTCCTCCTTCACTCTGCTCAGCCCCCCCCCAACTCTACCTAGAGCTGCCAATCCCCCCCTGAGACATTCTCTTCCTTTTTTCTAGCTGCCCCCAACCCTGCCACTTCCCCACGTCTGCTCGATTATTCCACTTTTCCCTCACCCCTGGCCACTCTTGTTCTTTGAATCTTTATTGTGCTCACCCCCTCCTTCCCCGCCTCTGTTACTTTCCCACCCAACTTCGACTCAACTTCTTCTAATCATCTACGGCTCATACTATATCATTTCTGTGTAGAGCGACAGTACGTATGTATAACTCTAAAGTGCAAAACGGGGTAAGACCACAAATACGGCTGTATACTGCATGGCCCAAGGATATAAGAGCTGTCGACATTTTCACATTTGCACATGTCGCACATTGCGAAAATGAATTGGGGACAGCTCGTATATATATCCTTGAACCAACCGCATTACTTATGTGGCATCTGCACATTTTATAAAGCAAATGCATGGCCCCCACAGCGGAGAGTGGACTGCCATTTAACACTGTCATTTGATCAAAAATAGCCTAGGGTGACCTCTGGCTCAGGCTCAGATCACCTCCAAGGTCAATCTAAAGCTTCTCACAGAAACGGTACCACACACACAGTACGTGTTGCATAGGAACGCACAATATTGAAAGCTATATATTCGACCTACGCAGTTACTGAGTTAGGTTATATGCCGGTTATGGCCTTGTTTGTAACAGTAACACGTACTGTCACTGTTAGTGTTACAACTTAGTGTTGTGTACGTTAATTGTATATACTAACTAATAGTAATTACATAGTAATATAGCAATACATGCCAACCTCTCCCCACACCGCTTTACGCGTATAGCCTACCGCTTTTGAAGACTTCTACCGCCTACCCTTTTATACTATTCCTCACCGCGCATTGCAAAATATTTTGAAAAAACTCTCTTTTTTTATTTTTTTCATTTTATTCTAATAAACTGTATGTAATGTATCTCTAATTCTATTCTATTGGAGTCCCAATTACTCCCCAAATGCAGGACAAGCACCCATTTAGCACCATTTTTTTGAAAACTTTTCCTGGGGGGGACCTGCCCCCAGACCCCCTCACGCCCACACTACGCTCGCACGCCGGATCTAACCACTCTTTCATTCAACAAAATTTTGGCCATGTATGATTATGTAATAGTATCACTATTATAGTACTATAATATACTACTGTAGTGTTAACAAACCCAGTATTATAATACTAAACTCTAAAGACTAAAGTAGTTTGAATTAACTACTAATGTAGTATATAATAGTTAAATAGTAATAATATATAGGGGTGGCCTATATTATTATATATATAATATATATATATATATATATATATATATACAGGGCCCTACTATTAACAGAATCAACAAACTATAACTATATTATATACGCATATGAAAAATAAAGTGTAAGCATAACACTCACGTGAGGTGACGTGAGGTACTATAGTACACAGCACCATTGTTGATATTACCACTGGCACTGACCAGGAGTTAATAAAGACAAATTGTTTTTCTTTATTAACTCCTGATATTACGGCATCGTCAGGTAACCCGGTATTCGCCTGTGCAACAGTCAAAATGGAAGTATATCCAGCTACTTATTACGGTTTCTTCCAACAACACGTGGTTCACTGCCAAACTGCGAAACACGCGCTACCACTACCAGACATTCCGCGAGGTAGGTGTGACCACGCACTAACGGATACTGACCGTGAATGTGACCTGAGAGTGACCTGAGTGTGACGTGTCGCAGCCAATAAGAAGTCAGTATCGAGTCACGCGCCGCCATTCTGCGCAACAGAGCGCACCATTGTCGCCTGAGGACAATAGACTGGTACCCGGTCCCACCTCTCGGCTTACTCTGAGGGCTTACTCACCCATCGAGTAATCGAGGTGGGAGCGAGTACCAGTCTACTGAGGACAACAGCGGTGTGATTACGGCACGTCATAGATATACACAACACACGTTACACACGTCATAGACACACATTACACACGTTACACACATAACACGTTACACACATAACACACGTTACACACGTCATAGATATACACAACACAAACACGTTGTGTTGTGTATATCTATGGTCACGTCTAACACGTATACCTGCGCCCTTCGCTACACTGTAAGGGGACTGTGCGTGTACCTCTAACATTACATCGTAACCTCGCAAATATTATTCTTCAAAGTCCAATTAAGGGACTATATTATTGAAGACGAAGAGACAAAGTTGATCAAATAGACAGATCAATACTACGGATCGCAGTAGAAAAAGCCTCAAATTTGCAACTAACTAATGAGGAAGGGAGAGAATTCCAATACGGAATTACAGAGACATATATTGTCAGGGGCGGCGCCACAGGGGGGGCAGGGGGGGGGGCGGTCGCCCCCCCTATCATTTGCAAGAAAAAGAAAAGAAGAAGAAAAAAAAGAAAGAAAAAAGAAAAAAGAAAAAGAAAAAGAAAAAGAAAAAGGAAAAGAAGAAGAAGAAGAAAAAGAAGAAGAAGAAAAAGAAAAAGAAACATCTTGCAAATGA